CTACTCAACTTGAAACCTTTAGACTCCAGGGCCTGCCTCCATACCTCCAGTCTCCCATTAACGTCGTCTCGCATCTCATCAATCAGAACTATATCATCAGCGAACAACATACACCATGGCACCTCTCCTTGGATATGGTGTGTCAGTGCGTCCATCGCCATGGCAAATAAGAACGGGCTGAGCGCAGATCCTTGGTGTAGCCCCATAACCACCGGAAAAGGCTCTGAGTCACCTCCTACAGTCCTAACCCGAGTCATAGCTCCATCATACATATCCTTTATCGCCCTAATGTAAGTCACCGACACACCTTTCACCTCTAGACTCCTCCAAAGGACGTCCCTGGGGACCTTGTCATACGCCTTCTCTAGGTCAATAAACACCATATGCAAATCCCTCTTCCTATCCCTGTATTGTTCCACCAACCTCCTGATAAGGTAGATAACTTCCGTAGTAGAACGACGCGGCATGAACCCGAACTGGTTTTTCGATATAGACACCGCCTTCTTGTCCTCCCTTCCACTACCCTCTCCCAAACTTTCATGGTATGACTTAATAACTTGATACCCCTATAGTTGTTACAATTTTGGATATCACCTTTGTTCTTGTACACTGGAACTATTGTACTCCACCGTCACTCATCAGGCATCCTCTTCGTCCTGAAGATAACATTAAACAACTCAGTCAGTCACTCCAAGCCTGCTCTACCCACATATCTCCAAAACTCTACTGGAATCTCGTCTGGTCCAGTCGCTTTGCCCCGACTCATCTTACCCATTGCACGCACGACCTCCTCAACCTTAATACGCCTACAATACCTAAAGTCGTGGTGGCTCTCGGAGTGCCCCAATTGCCATAACATGATGTTTTCACCCCCCCTCTTCATTCAGAAGTTTATGAAAGTACGACTGCCATATTTGCCTAATCTGCGCCTCTTCCATCAATACTCGACCGTCCTCGTCTTTGATACACCTCACTTGATCCAGGTCACGAGCCTTCTTCTCTCTCGATTTGGCCAACCGAAATAACTTCTTGTCCCCACCTTTGCCCCCAAGTTCCTCATACAGCTGACCAAATGCAGCAGTCTTAGCCTTTGTGACCGCTAATTTCGCCTCCTTCCTACCCTCCTTATATCTTTCTCTGTTCGCTCTCCTCTGATCCTCGTCGATGCTCTCTACTAACTTAATGTAAGCCGCTTTCTTGGCTTCCATTTTACCTTGGACCACGTCATTCCACCACCAGTTGCCTCGGTGCCCGCCAGAGTAACCTTTTGAAACTCCCAACACTTCTCTCGCTGCCTCCCTTATATAGTCTGACGTCGCCATCCACATAGCACTAGCGTCCCCACCACTCTTCCAGGCACCCATAGTCGTCAGTCGTCCCTCCAACTCCCGCGCATTATACTTGGACAAAGATCCCCACCTGATCCTCAACTGACCCAATACAAACCTCTTCTTCCTCTTCATCAAGATACCGACGTCCATCACCAGGAGCCTATGTTGAGTTGCGAGGTTCTCACTCGGGATCACCTTGCAATCCTCGCACAACCCCCTATCGCACCTCCTGAGTAGGAGATAGTCAATCTGAGTCTTAGCCACCATGCTCCAAAAAGTAACCAAATGTTCCTCCCTCTTCGGAAACATAGAGTTCACGATCACCAACTCAAAAGCTCTAGCGAAATCCAACAGTGAGGTACCACCCCCGTTCCTATCACCAAAGCCGAAGCCACCGTGCACCTCACCATAGCCACCAACAGACGACCCAATATGACCATTGAAATTCCCTCCTATGAATAGCTTCTCCGTGGGCGAAATACCCCGCACCACCTCATCCAGCATCTCCCAGAAGCGCCTTTTAACCTCCTCGTCCAAGCCCGTTTGCGGCGCGTAAGCGCTAATGACATTCAGAGTGCTCCCTCTAACTACTACCTTAATCGCCATCAATCTATCATTCACCCGCCTAACCTCTACCACCGACTCTCTGAACTCCCTATCCACCAAAATGCCCACTCCGTTCTTGCCCTTCACGACTCCGGAGAACTACAATTTATACCCGTCTACATTCCTCACCTTTGATCCTACCCACCTAGTCTCGTGCACACACGCTATGTTGACCCTCCTCTTCCGGAGAATCTTCGCCAGCTCTATAGACTTACCCGTCAACGTCCCTATATTCCACGATCCAATTCTNACAAACCACAGTCTCTATACGTACGAAGGTCTAAAAATGAAAAAGAAAAAAAAACACCACACATAACAACAAAAGGAGCAAATAGTAACTACAAACCCACTACTAGGCTGACTAGACTAGTACGAAATACTAGGGCAACAAAGTAATTAACACAAGAGACAGAGAAACAGGAGGCGGGAGGTACCAATTCCCGCGAATAGAACCTGGAACTTTCGACTTGGTATACTCCCGATGCTGCGGAACCTGGCGTATAGCTGCTGCTCTACTGCTTCTGCGCGTGCACCTCCCTACCGCCGCCAAACAGCCACAAAAGTGATACCTGAAGAGGAACAAGTTTCAGAGAGAGAGAGAGAAAGAGAGAGAGTACTTTAAACTGTGTATACTGAAGTATGCAGGCAGCAGCAAAATAAGCCCTCCTAGTTGAGTTTGCATCAAAAAGGAGAAAGGGAACGGAACGAAATGCAAAGACACACACACTCTCTCTCTCTCTCACTCACTCACTGCAACAAAAGCAGAAATACAGAGAGGGTTACTGGAGTGGATTAGCGTATAGCCGTATAGTGTTCTCTCTGTTATGATACTTTTTGCAGAACGGTACACTGCTAATTTGCACAGGCGGTGAGCTCCATATTATTATCGCCCCTAGCAAATATACATATATATATAGAGAGGGGGCTGCTATTTAAGTTAATTTCTCAAATAACTTCCTTTGACATGGTGAATATGGTTGTCCTCTATACTAAGTGAAAAACATCTTTCTATTTACAAAAATCTTGAAAATAGAGACCAAATTGGAAAGGTTACTTTTAGTTATTCTGGTTCGATCGTTATTCTTCCAATTTGTTTTTGTCCTCTTTGAGTGGTTACTTTGGATTAGTACAACAGAGAGATAAGAGTCGAGCACTTAAGATGACCTCTGTGTGTGTATTAAAAGTTGCTTATTTTTCCGTTAAAACCAAATTACAAATGTTCGAATGGTTTAGATGTTGAAGAAAAGCGAAAATATTACGTCTAATTGAGAGAAAAGAAATTACATTTACCTAAAAAAAGCATTCAAATAATTCTTGAAAATTTTACACTAAAATAAAACTCTTAAACTTTCCAAATAAAAAAGAAACTCTCCACATAAGACTACTGACATATAAGTAGGATAGAAGATTTATAATTACTATAGCCTAACCAACCTTAAACAAATCATGTCGATTAAAAAAAAAAAACGCTTGAATACCAAGTTGGTGGGAATGATATCAAACAAATGAAACAGAAATTTTTATTTGTTTCGTTGGAGCAGGGTCCTATGAGAAATCGAGAGTGAAAAAGAAAGACATAGAAGGTGACGTAATACGACGAATAAAGAGGAAACATTTTCACAACCTAGATACTTGTGCCCGCGTAGGGTGTAAATAGGTCGGGTTGGTTCGGATTTTTTAATTAACAAATCAAACTAATGGTGTCGGATTTTTAAATTTATAAACCAAACCAAACCAACAAATTCGGGTTTTTCAATCTCGGATTTTCTCGGATTTTTCGAATTTTTTCCGGTAAAGTCTTTATAGCATAAAATATGTAACTTGTGCTCCAAATATTTTTTTAAGTCCTAGTAAAATACAACTATATAATGTGTTTTCCAAGAAACTAACACAACAATATGAGGTAAGTCATAGCATTATACTAAAATATTCAATAACAATGATAAAATAATAAAATTGCATAAAACAAATATTGCTAATTAATAAGCCATAATGAAAATTAACATAGTCAAAAAATACTATATAGGTCATGCTAAAATAAGTATAACTAATAAGTACTAATATTAATTACATAACTAAGTACTAAAGAAAAAGATAAACTAAGTTATGCATTTTCATTATAAACCAATGTAAAACTAAAATAATTATCCAACACTTTCGTCATTCCTAGTATTGAATTGAATTTCTTTTATTGGCATTAGTATTGATTTGAACTTTGTTTGAGTTACTACATTTATGGGCTACAAAATTTATTCACCATTCAAGAATGTTAAGTCTAAACTTGAAATAATACGTTAAAAGATAAAACTGTGAAAAAGTTTAAAAAATTTTACATTACAATAAATATTTATATGTATAAAATATTTTTAAAAATTATATAAATATACTATCAAGTTGGTTTGGTTTCGGTTTGCCTTTTTTTAGTTAAAACCAAACCAAATCAATTATGGTGAGGTTTTATTTTCCAATACCAAACCATATCGGATTTTTTTTTCGGTTTGACTCGAATTATCGATTTGGTGCGGTTTATCGATTTTCTTTGTACACCCCTACTTGAGTGTGTCAAGACTGTCAAATTACACAATATTGGTAAATGGAGAGACTGTCATTCCTTTTGATGCTGCTAAGGGACTTAGACAAGGAGATCCAATCTCCCCATTTTTGTTTGCAATTGTCATGGAATATCTTAGCATGAGCCTAAATGGACCGAAAGAAGACAAAACTTTCAAATATCATCCTAAGTGTGCTAAGCTAGGCATTACTCACTTGAGTTTTGCTGATGATTTGTTGTTGTTCTCTAGAGGTCATCTACCATCAATTGCTGCCTTGCACAGATGTTTCAGTCAGTTCTCTCAAACCTCAGGCCTACAAGCTAATTTAGGCAAAAGCTTTGTCTACTTTGAGGGAGTTTCTCAAACTGAGAGATCAAGGATACTACAACACTTTGGATATGTCCAAGGGGAGTTAACTTTCAGGTACCTTGGCATACCACTCTCAACTAAGAAGATTTCATTAATGCAATGGCAACCGCTCATTCAGAAAATAGTGGCACGAGTGTCTTCCTGGACAACAAAGAAGTTATCATATGCAGGGAGAGTGCAACTAGTACAAAGTATTCTATTTGGCATATGGGCTTATTGGGCTCAACTGTTTCCCCTTCACATTAAGGTTTTGAAGCTCATTGATGGTTATTGTCGAAGCTATGTATGGTCTGCTGACAACAATATCACTAAGAAGTCATTGGTTGCATGGGAGAAACTATGTACTCCTAAGTCTGTAGGAGGGTTGAACTTAGTCAATCTTCAATTGTAGAATAAAGCTGCCATTGCAAAGGTGTGTTAGGACCTTGCAAATAAACAAGACAAACTCTGGATCAAACGGATACATACCTACTACATCAAAGGTCAACAACTTATGCAAATGACAGTGCCTCAACAAGCATGTTGGATGATTCAACAAATACTTAATGCTAGAAACACTTTGAGCCAAATACAAGGACTTAGTGAAAGGAAGAACATGATCAGGTACATATATCTACAACTCCTGGGTGATAGACCTCGAGTTGCTTGGAAATGCTTAATGTTTCGGAACACTGCCAGGCCTAAAGCTCAATTCACTATGTGGATACTATTGCAAGGGAAGCTCCTCACCACAGACATGCTACGAAGATGGGGAGTGAATGTGGATTCACATTGCATACTGTGTCATGAACATGAGGAAAGTAGAGAACATTTGTTTGTTAGGCGTGCCTTCGCTCAGAACATATGGAGCAAAATTGGATATTGGATGAAACAGAATTATAGAGTGACAACAACTGGGAGCAACACCTACAATGGATTCTACATAATGCCAAAGGGAGAACTCAGAGGGCAAAAATATTTCGAATGGTCTATGCAGAAGTCTTACATACCATCTGGATAGAAAGGAATATGAGGATCTTTTAAAAGAAGAGTAAAAATTAGATCGCCATTGCACGAGAGATAGCTTACAATTGCAGCATTAGAGTTACTGATGATGTACATAGATTAGTTCAAAGCTTTATTTTCTGAGTACGTGTATACATGCATATGTAGGCTAAGTTTTTGGTTCTTTTTCTTTGGAGGTTGTAAAAGATAGCGAGCTATGTGAGCAAGCTATGGTTCTGTACATTTTAATAGTGATTAAGAGCCTGTTTGGATTAGCTGGAAAAAAGTAGCTTTTAAGCACGCATGAGCATGTTTTATAAATAAGTAGTTACATGTTTGGATAAAAGTGCTGAAACTTTAAAAAAAAAGGCTGAAGTGTTTGTTAAACAAGTGTTGATAAACATTTTTTCTGTTAAAAAGACAAAAATATTGCCTAAAACAAATTAAGAACCTACATCTTCCTCTGCTTATTATGTAACAATCTGCCGAACATCGATTTCTATATAAGCGGACCATCACCAAACATAAAACTTGAAAAAAGATTGTTACCATATTTTTTTTAAAATGCAAAGCCTTAAACCAGGTTTGGGATAATCTGGGTATTCCCATACCTCAAAGAAAAAGCATATAAAGAAGATCGATTTTCACTGAAAACTTAAGCGAAAATACAGAACAACTGAAGATGAAGGAGAAAAAGAGGAAAGAAGATGAGCAGAGGCTTCAAAATTGAAGAAAGTGGGAGTAGTTCGATATTTTAGGATTTATTTGATGAGGGTAGTTTTGGGATTAGTAAAAGTTATAAGGGACAAGTAAGTAATTCTTTTGGTCAAAATAAGATGGCTTTTAATCCAAAAATAGAGAAGTTAGGGTCAGCCAACTTGTGGCTTTTGGCTTTTTTAAGCCCAAACTTTTTTAAGTAATTTTCTTTTTTGCCAAACAGGCTCTAATACAAAAGTTCAGTTAATTACCAAAAAAAGAGGAAACATTTGATTTTGCTCAAGATTTGAAATGCTAATTTTCATTTATATTAATGTCCTTTTGCTGCTTCTCCTTTTATGTGGAAAGCGCTTTCTTTCTTTTCCTTTTTTTTTTTTTTTTTTTTTTTTTTTTTTTTTTTTTTTTTTTTTTTACTTTGATAGAGAAATATGGGAAAATCTAAGTTTTAGTGCTTAATCCTGACTTGTAATATAAGTACGACTGCTAACTCAGCATTAACGGTTAGTGAGAGTATTCAAAATTTGAAAGCTGCATGATATGAGCGTGTTCATTGGGCCCACTAGACGGGCCCAACCCGAAGAGCCGTTTCCTCAGAATTCAGAAATTTGATTTTGAAGCAGTTGTAACATTTCCCGCCCAACGACACTGCTTATCTCTTGAGTATATATAGTCAAGCCCTAAATTCACAACTCTACTCTATCATTTCCTCCATCTATTTCGCTGATCATTCCTTCAGTTCTCTCCGGAAAACCTAAAATTCTCAATGGAAGTCACCGGCAAAGATCAATCCTCTGTTTCTGGTATCACTCTTTACTTTTTAATTTCATTTATGATTATGATTGTGTGTATACATTCGCGTCTCTGTATGTATATATGTGACTGACTGCTAGGGTTTTTTCTTCTTCTTTTTGCAGCGAATTCAAAGAGATCAACATCATCATCATCATCGAAGCTTCTTCGATATCCACTGCGATCGGCCGGTAAAGCCAACGAGGAGAAACCACCTTTGACTGATTCTTCCAACTCTTCGGCTCCTAGAAGGTCTGTCTCTATCTCTACTGCTGTTGCACGTTCACCGTTTTTTAGTGTGTATAATGAATTTGCTGAGATTAGACCTTCAATAGAGGCTAGTTGCATGAGTACTCATTTGTTTGTTTGTTTGAGTGAAGAATTTTTGAATTTCAATGTCGGTTATTCTCTGGTCCTTTTCAAGCCTAGAAATACTAAACTACCTTAGTCGATGCGCCATGAATACCTATTACTATTTGTTTTGATATTTGGAAGAAGAAAAATAAATTGCTGAATTTGCATAAATTATTTGTTGCTATGTGTACGAAGATCAAGCGTATATACGCGGGCATGTTTCATTAGTTGGCCTATAAACCTTATCCAGCAAAGAGTTTCCATCTTTGATTGTATTCCTTCAAAGGTTCCTTTTCATGCTACTGCAGTGCACTGCTAGACATTCATGATTCATAGCATTTAAAACTGTTTATTTGAATTGCATGACAATATTTGGTGCGGAATCGAGTAATTCCTCCTCTCAAATTTAGTTAATAAACAAAAACAGAGATGTTATCCAGTCTCCAAAATTAATGTTTGATAGATTTCTGTTGTTCAGCCATATTCTTTGTCGCGATAAATGTGGTCTTGGGGAAGGAATAACCTAACCTAAGTAAAGTGTCAGAGAATGGTTGTTTTTCCCCTTTGAAAAAGAAATATAAACAAATTAAATTAATGACTTGTACACAAGCGCAGAAACTTTTAAGTATGTGTACTGTTCCAAGTCATTTTATTCTTACTTCATTAGCAGTAGCCAAATATTCGTTTCTTCTGATGTCGTCCATGCTTGCTTAATTTTCTTCACCTCCCATTTTAGGGGAAAACCTGCATCAAGTGTTACTGTTAGTAAGAGTGTTAGTGTCCTTGATCTCTCTGGCAAGGAAAAATCTGCTGCTAAACCTCCAAGAAGGCTGTCTATTCAGTCTAAGCCAAGTGCCAGCCCTGCATCCTCAAGAGCAATAGGCACTATCACTCCTATTTCTGAGGCTAGAGCAAAGAGATCCGGGATCAACCAGGGGAAAACTAATACACCGCTTTCAGCAGTTTCAAAGTCATCAAATGGAAAGGAAGGAAATCGTCTATTCTCCGCACTCTATTGGCTATCCCAGATTAAGCTCTCTGAATCTGCTGCTAAGCATTCCATTTCTCTTGGTTTTTTCAAACTTGCTTTGGAAGCTGGCTGTGAGGTAAGATATATATTCCCCCCAATTGGTTACCAGCAGTTTACAGCTGTTAATAAGTTCACCCTTTTTGCATTTCAATGGTCTTAGAAAATTGCGACACTTCCTATAGTTGGTAAATTAGGAATAGACTACTTTTGTCTTAATTTTTTCCTGACTATTATTTCAGCCTCTTCAACGTTTGAGGGATGAGCTGAAATCCTATGTGCAGCGTCATAGCCTTGTAGATCTCGGGGAGCCAGTGAAACAACTGTTTGAAGGCTACAATATTTCGCAAGGTTTTGAGCAGTTGCAAGTATCTGAGACTTGTTCCCATGCGCCTGAAGATGGGACACGTTCATCTGATGATGAAGTGCATAGCTCTTCATCTGTTGCTGGCACTGAGAAACTGGAACAGGAAGACTTGAACAAAGATGCTATTGAAACTTGCCAAGTGGCAGAACCAACTAAGGAGACTTCATCAAGGAAAGATATTGTAACTAAGACCCGTAGTTCTGCAAATAAAAGTGCTGCAACTCCGAAATCTACAACAGAAGTTTCTGGTCATGCCACTAAAAAGAAATTTGAAAAACCTATTAAGCAAGAACCAACTAAGGATAAGGTGAAAAGACAGGGAAAGAAATCTGCTAGAGTTGAAGGTAAATGTCTGTTTGTTCCTTTCTTGGTCAAAAGGTCTTGCTGTTTGTGTTAACGAGATTCATTTTCTTTCTTTTTATCATAGGTCCTGCTAATGCATGCACTCCAGAGAGAGTCCTCCCAGAAGACAAAGAGAATATGGTAAGAAGAGAAAATTTGGTGTTAACTTCCCTTTTGACATCCTTCTGTGATTAATTTTCTCTCTGTTTCTAGTGGACTATCGTATTTCTTTGTCTTATCTGATCAAATAACGACCTTTAGGCACCTTCCCCCTCCTATAACTTCCTCTTTTATGGTAAACATGGCTTTTTGAGTAAGGACTAACTTTTATTTTCTTTTTCTTTTTCTTTATTGCATTTGTAATCATATGCCATAGTTAACTTTACTGTCACTTATTGCAGGATGCTTCACAGTCAGAAGAGATCAATACTGCAGAAGTTTAGAAAGATGTGTGAAATCAAAGAATGTTGAATATACTTCTATTATGGTTGTTTGTTATGGTGTTCATAAGCAGGAAGCTTTTCTTTGTATAGATCATAGGAGGGTCGTCAATTTGGGGTTTGCATGCGAAAAAGTCATGTTTGGTTTGTTTGGTTCTAGTTTGACCCTAGACTTTAGGGCATTAGATCTCTGTTTATGTTTTTGAATTGCATTTGGTTTTAAAATATTATACTGGAAATGTTTTTATTCATGCTTCCGTTCTTTGCAGTGAAATATTATATGAATTCTGAAAACCATCTTTGTCGTTATGGCAACTAGATTATTCTAAGCAATTAATAACGGAGTTCATAATCTACAGGAGCTTGTTGGTGCAAAGTAGATTATGAACTCTGCTACCTTATGCGCCTTTATTTTGGTTATGAATGAGCTATCAATTGCATACAGAATGAAGTTGTCCATAATACAACTCAATATAATCACACAAGTGAGGTCTGTAAGTGAGGTCTGTGGAGGATAGTGTGTACGCAGACCTTAAGGGTAAAAGTGTTTCCGATAGATTCTCGGCAAAGATAAAATGCCGACAAGAAGTTGTCCATAATATTTCATCCATTTACTTTACGTTTGTGTTTGGTTAGAGCGCAAAATTGAAAAAACGAAAAAAGTAAATTTTGACGCATATATTGAATATAAATAACATGCCAAACGTATTTTACAGTGATGGTGAACTTTTCTGCGTCCTCCTTCCGTACAACTTCGTTCATATTCCTACCAGAGGACAATTATTCTTTTATAGACAATTTTATCAAAAAAATACAATATTAATTGTAGATTTACCAAATATAAAACTTAGATTGGTTTTCAGTCACTGTTATATAATGTCCACAATTCAATGCGTTATCACCCTTCCACCAATATTTGTTGAATGACTGAAATTTAACACTGACTGGAACCATGTAATAATCCAGGCTTTGATACCTCCATTGCTAGACCTACTCAGAACTATGTAAACCCAGCTTTAATAGTTTCATTGCTAGACTTAACCTAAATGGTGATGTCAATAGCTGATCAGTAAGAAAAGAGATTGTTGCGATGCTAATTAAATAACTAAAACGAAGTGGATATATGAGCTTTGATCCAAAAGCTCATGAAATGCCCATTGCTTATTCTTCGGTTGAATATATGATCACACATTGCTGGTCTATACAGGTCGGCAAAGCTTACAAGTAAAATTTAAAATCCAAAGTTGAGGGGAAATGGAAGTAACTGAAAACCATCTTTGTTGGAAAAGCAACTAGCACATTCTAAGCAAATCCAATACCGGAGTTCGTAATTTACAGGAGCTTGTCGATGCAACGCAGCGAACAACAGTTGAGGGAGTAGCATCAAGCAACTATACTAGGACCAGAATGAATGTGTTCCACTAAAATTGAAATTTCGGACAAAAGGTATCTGGAAACATTACATAGATGAGCCCTCAAGCTCCTGATTGAGGTTGCAATCATCTCTCTTCCATGGTATCAGTCAGCAGTCCAGCTCTGCTCCACAACTTCTCTAACTCTCCGGTTGTAATCCCGCTTATTCTCAGTGAACAACCGAGCAGCTTCCGAGTTTGCAGGAGAATTAGGGTTTGGATCACACAGCAACGACTGCAAGAACAAGAAAATCTTATAATCATTTATGCAAACAATAAATCTGAAGTTCTCTTCTGAAGGTGTACGGTGTGCCTGTATGCAAATTTCAAGTGGTAGAGAGCAACTACCACCATACCTCTCCCAACTCACCACCTTAAGGAACATCATTTTCACCTCCTCCCTACTTAACAAATTATTACTTTTTTTTTGTTTTACCAAGAAACCCATCAGGGACCAACCCTTGCCTTTGGAACGCGGGGATCATGGGTCCGCCCCTTTATCCTTCTCCACTTAAATACCACCTAGTCAGAAGTCCCTCAACCTTTGCCACTTGAACTAGCCCTAGGGCTACTTAACAAACTATTACTAAAACAGACAAGAGGAAGAAAAAAAATAGAGGGTCGGCGTAAGCTCGATACATGTAAAATCAAAATTCCCTTCTACTATAACATCACTTTCTCACACACACTGCAGTAACCATACATAATCCAGCCACTCAACCACAACAACCAACCCCAACCCCCAGCATCTATCTACTATCTAGTCACTCAATTTTATAATTTTATCATCTTACTGAGTGAAGCATATGCGTAATTAGGAATGTGTCACAGCATGCATCAGTCAGAAGAAAGATCATTTAGGAGTTTAGCAACTAAAATTCAATTTCCACCACACCCTTCCCTTTTCTTCATCTAAGTATCTGGCAATTCCTAAACCTGGATTCATTGGGATACAGGTCTATCCTGTTTCCTAATATTAGTTTGCAAAATTTGAGACCCAGTTATATTGGAATTAATTGATTCCATAGAAGCGTAAATCCTGTTTTTATTTCTAGCTACCACTGCTTCGACCACGTGGCACTCTCAAGATGCCTCAAATAAGATTTCTTGATAAAAGAAGATAAATTCTTCCTAAATGCACACTGGTACACTCAATAGCTCATTGATACTGGAGGACGCAAAGAGGGTTCAATCTGTCTAACTACCATCGAAGAAATCAAGAAATTGATCTAAGAAACAACATCCACGACGAGATTTCCTACCTCACTCCTCAATCGTAGCACCCAAGAGTAAATGCATGGCTTGGAACTAAACAAATAGACTTGCCTCAAAACACACAACAAATTCTGAAGAAGAAAGCTAAGTAGGCATTTGGATATTATTTGGTTGAAGTTGAAAAAAAGAGTACTTGAAGTTGAAGTTGAAAAAGAGTATTTGGATGTTGAAATTATGTTTAGACATAAATTTCACTTCGGGAAAAAAAAACCCATTTTTTCACTTGAAAATGCTCCAAACAAGTTTTTCAACTTCAAATTCCCTATTTCAAAGTGAAGTTGAATAATGTATGTCCAAACGGGGCTAGTTGATTGGTCACTAATCAGCCAGCTTTTCTCAAGAAATTTATCCAAATAATAAATCATGCTTATACTTGTGGGCTATTTGAAAACTTTATGTACTGATTGGACAAATAGACTTTCGGTCATATAAAATGAATCACCAAACATATAGAGGGAATAGCTATGAAAGGATCAGTTAGGTCAACTTTGCTGTGTTGACCAAAGAAAGTATTTTAAAACGTTTCTTCGAAGTGCTGTGCTCTGCGAGAATTGTTAAAATTAAAATAGAAATATTTGAAAACATCTTCTAGATATATAAAAAAAAAAAAAAGGGAGGGGGGGGGGGG